TTTCCTATTCAAGCAAAAGCTTGTTTTAAGAAACTGTTCTGGGCCAGGAATGGTGGCTCACACCTATAATCCTAACAGTTTAGGAGACCGAGGTGGGCAGATCACCTGAGGTCGAGAGTTCAAGACCAGCCTGGCTAACATGGTAAAACCCCACCCTTTCTAAAAATACAAAAATTAGGCCGGGTGTGGTGGCTCACGCCTGTAATCCCAGCACTTTGGGAGGCCAAGGTGGATGGATGTTTAGGTCAAAAGATCGAGACCATCTTGGCCAACATGGTGAAATCCCGTCTCTACTAAAAATACAAAAGTGAGCCAGGAGTGGTGGCGCTTGCCTGCAGTCCCAGCTACTTAGGAGGCTGAGGCAGGAGAATCGCTTGAACTCGGGAGACGGAAGTTGCAATGAGCTGAGATCGCACCACTGCACTCCAGCCTGGTGACAGAGCACAACCCCATGTCAAAAAAAAAAAAAAAAATTAGCTGGCATGGTGGCGGGCTCCTGTAATCTCAGTTACTCAGGAGGCTGAGGCACAAGAATCACTTGAACTTAGGAGGCAGAGGTTGCAATGGCTGAGATCATACCACTGCACTCCAGCCTGGGCAATAGAATGAGACTCTGTCTCAAAAAAAAAAACAAGACAGAGAGAAAGAAAGAGAGGAAGGGAGGAAGAGAGGGGAGCGGAGGAGAGGGGAGCGGAGGAGAGGGGAAAGGAAACTTCTGTGTGCTGGCTCACCCCTGTAATCAGCATTCAGCACTGTGGGAGGCTGAGGAGGATGCATTGCACATCTCTACAAAAAATACAAAAATTAGCCAGCTCTGGCGGTGCATGCCTGTAGTCCAGCTACTCAGGAGGCTGAGGTGGGAGAATGGCTTGAGTCCAGGAGGCAGAGGGTGCAGTGAGCTAAGATGGTGACACTGCACTCCAGCCTGAGCAATAGAGTCAGACCTTGTATCAAAAAAAAAGAAGAAGAAACAATTTGGTATTCCTTAATTTCTAAATTTGAAATGCTTCTGGTGAGGTAAGCTGCTTTCTGGGGTGTGTCTAGCCTGGGAGCCCTGTGGCCATTCTTATGGGCATTCTCTTTCTCTGTAGCTGAAGGATGGAGTGGGAAGCGCATGTAAGTGCCTACAGCCAACCTGGCCTGGCACAGCAGCCGTCCCTGTGGTCACACCCATGGGACACGCTCATTGGAGCTGGGGGACTGCCATCATTGGGCACTGCCTCAGGCAGGCGTGGGGCACTCAGACACCAGATGACAGAGCGGAGGAAGCTGGGTGAGAGCCAGGATAAAAGCCAGCTGCCCCTCAGCATATTTCTTTCCAGAAGGCCAGTTCTCACTGTTTGAATGAGCACGTCTGTGTGGGAGTGCAGACACCTGCAGACCCCTCGTTCCTACATTCCAGGCTTCCGTTTCTTGTGTGCATTGTGGGGGTCACATGGCTGGTAGTTTGTGGGGTCCCTTGACCACTGTCTCCTTCCTTGCCCCAGCCCAGGGTCTAGGAGTCCGGCCTCCAGAGCACTGCGCTCAGTCCGCAGTCAGGTGATCTGGCTTGGTTATTGCCACCCATGGAGATTCAGTCAAAAATCCAGAGTGGCCTGTATGTAGCAAACTGGCATCTGCCACGCCTGTCTGACAAGCAGCTGTCGGAGCACATTTTGTTGTTAAGCTTGTTGTTTGGCTGGCCACAGTGATATACACCTGTAATCCCAGCCTTTTGAGAGGCCAAAGTGGGAGGATCACTTGAGCCCAGGAGCTCCAGACCAGTCTGGGCAACATAGTGGGACCCCATGTCTACAAAAAATTTAGAAAATAAAAAAATTAGCTAGGTGCAATGGCTCACATCTATAGTCCCAGTTACTCAGGAGGCTAAGGCAGGAGGATCACTTGAGCCTGAAAGATTGAGGCTGCAGTGAGCTGAGATTGCACCACTGCACTCCAGCTTAAGGGACAGAGCAAGACTCTGTCTCAAAACAAAAAACAAAACTGATTTTGAGGAGCCTGGGAGTTGTTCTGGACCCTCCACCTCCCTCATCACACCATAGACCCATATGGTCGGCATCTCTCCTGCGTGTCCCCAAAACTGAAGCACGGCCACAACCCCCTGCTTGGTCCTCCTGCCTCCAGTCTTGGCTGCTGCTCACCCTCTCCTCACCCCTCCCACAGGGATCTTTCAAAACACAGTCATCCTTATTGAAAATCCTGCCGTCAGCTCTAAGCACAGCTCTCCGCCCAAACCCACCTCCAGGACCGTGGTTCCCATTGGCCTTTCCAGCCTCATTTCTCATCATTTACTGCTGTGGCTTGCTCCAGCTTTGTTGAGCCTCTGGAGCCCCCAGACCAGAATGCTCTTCTCTCCCATTTTCGCAGAGGGGTCCTGCTTAGGCCCCCCTGCACCACTCTTGTGCCTTACACCGAGGATAAGACCTTCCGATCGCCGGGTGTGGTGGCTCACGCCTGTAATCCCAGCACTTTGGGAGGCCGAGGTGGGTGGATCACGAGGTCAAGAGATCCAGACCATCCTGGTCAGCATGGTGAAACCCCGTCTCTACTAAAAATACAAAACATTAGCTGGGCATGGTGGCGCGTGCCTGTAATCCCAGCTACTCAGGAGGCTGAGGCAGGAGAATTGCCTGAACCCAGGAGGCGGAGGTTGCGGTGAGCTGAGATCGCGCCATTGCACTCCAGCCTGGGTAACATGAGTGAAACTCCGTCTCAAAAAAAAAAAAAAAAAAGACCTTCCGATGACTTTCCTGCAGCAGACCATCAGTTCTCGTTTCTATGCCCGTGGCACCTGACAGAGCCCGGCAGGCTCAGTAGGTGGTAAGCTGTGGAAAAGCAGGTCTGTGGCGACGTCCTCAGGATGCACTGTGGGTGTTCTGGGAACAGATAGCAGGGAGAGAGTCTATGAGCCAAGGACGCTCTTCCTGAGCAGGTGGCTGGAGCTGTCACTTCCTGGAGTGCACTGTGTAACCTGAGCACACTAGGGCTGTCTTTGACCATGGGCACCTGGCTCCTCCAGCCTGCCCAGGCAGCCCTCAGAGGAGACACAGCACCCCAATCCCATCACTGTGTTGAAATTCCACTCTCTCATTGGTGAAGGCCTGCAAGATTTTACAGTCAGCTGCAGGTGGAGATGGAGCACCTGCATCTGTGGTGGGCATAGGAAGAGTACTGTGGGCAAATGCAGTGTCTCTTCCAAGGGACACACTGCAGGATAACTTGTCAGTTGTATTTCGTTCTAAGAGAGGGACTTGACCGAGGGTTTCAGGCTGGAGTGGGGTGGCATGATCTCGGCTCACTGCAACCTCTACCTCCCAGGTTCAAGTGATTCTCCTGCCTCAGCCTCCCAAGTAGCTAGGGTTACAGGTGTGCGCCACCATGCCCAGCTAATTTTTTGTATTTTTTAGTGGAGATGGGGTTTCACCATGTTGGTCAGGCTGGTCTTGAACTCCTAACCTCAGGTGATCCTCCCGCCTAGGCCTCCCAAAGTGCTGGGATTACAGGTGTGAGCCGCTGTGCCTGGTTGGGTTTCTGTTTTTTGTAAGGAGCAGGTGGTGTCATGTGGGGCTTAGGGAGTAGCCAGGAGTGGCTGCCCCTGAGGACCTGCAGGGTTTGTGTTCAGCTCACTGAGCCCTCCCGTGTCGTACTACAATTGGGACACAGAAGTTTATGAACCCCTGACTGACAGCTCTGGGAGTGTGGCAGACCTCTTTTTTGTGTGATAGCTCTGATGAACTTTACCCACATCGGTAGCAATTACGGTGATGTTTTTGTCAGGGCAACCAAAACTTAAGCCAGAGTAACCTACTGACACTGGCCCTAGCAAAGAAGGTGGAAGTGTGAACTTCTGTACCTGGGAAGACTAGAATTTGGCCACCGAGTCACAGTCAGAGAGCATCAGTGACGGGTCCATTTGGCCCGCCTCCCTGAGGGAGCACCATTCTCTTGTGCTGTAACAAGCTTCCTCCATCCCCCAAGTGAGTGGGAGGGGCGGTCGTAGTCACAGATGGCTGCTGCTTTGCTTTGTCCCTGCCAATAACCCCAGAGCAAGCAAATGGCTCCTCTCATTTGAGGATAGTGAATCCCAAGGAAGGCTCTGATTGGTCAGGCCTGGGTCTTGTGCCCATGCCTGTGGACTGGGTAAAGGGAGAGGTGGTTCCCGGAGGAAGGGAGGAGTACTGTTGCCAAAAGAGGGAGGAGGCAATGCAAAACAGGCCACCCGTGTTGGCCCATCTGCCTTTTGCTGAGTACTTACCTGCCAGGGCTGTTAAGCACCTTGAGGAAATCGGCCCAGAGAGAGCAAGGAACTTCTCTAGAGGCACACAGCCTGGAAGTAGCAGTGCCAGGATTTGAACCCATGATGGCGTTAAGTCCCCCATACTGCATCTCCTCTCATGTGGGGTCTCTCATGTGGATCATGGCAGGGCTGGCTCTTCAGCCTGAGTCTCCATCCCACTGCTGGGCCCCTTGTGAGGCAGCAGGAGGGGAGAGATCCAGGTTCTCTAAAGCCACCGAGCACTCTGGGCACTGGGTTTGCTGCACCCTGGCCAAGGCAGTGATGAGCCAGTGTCTGTTGTGTGTGTGCAGGGAACTACAGCCTCTCCAGCATGCTGCCCAATGCCCCCGACATGGCACAGTTCAAGCAGGGAGTGAGGTCCGTCGCTGGGAAACTCTCCGTCTTTGCTAATGGAGTTATGACTTCCATTCAGGTCAGTGAAACGGGACGGTGCTTGCTGAGTATGACGGTATGTCATCATTTTGAAAGTGAGACTTGCTTCAGTCTTCAGTTGCTGGAAAATTAGATCATATGTTATTGTATAACCCAGGACATTATGAAAACCAGAAATTACAATTTTATATTTAACATTTTCTAATGTATGACATTAGGGGAATTGTTATAGGAATGATCATGATCATTGTCCAGTTCTTTTCCTAGATTGGAACAGAACAGAGAAGTATTAAGAAGGAAATTGGAATTATCTGTAATGCCACATCACAGAGATAATTCTGTTAATATTTTGGTATATTTTTAGCTCTAGATTTTTAAGGATTTTTTTTCTATACATAGATAAAGATATACGTATCTTTTTAAAATTAAAAAGGGATTGTATTATATATAGGGTTTTATATCATGCTTTTTCTCTGTAATGTTATGAGCATTTCCATGTAATTAAAAGTTCTTCTAAAACCACATTCTATTGAGTGAAAACATAAGCCAAGCATGGCACATGCGTGCACATAACAGCCGAGGCCATTTCTGATTATATGAATGGCTCATTTCTTTGTACCTTCTTGTTTATGTCAGGCTATTTAAGAAGGATTCTATTCATGTAAAATGCGGCTAGGGGAAGCAGAACTGAAACAGTGTGGACTCTGGTGCCTTTAAAGGAGGTTCCTGGTCCCCAGACAGATGCTGCTCTGGCTGCAGGTGCCTCCCCTTCTGGAGAGTTCCCTTAGCCCCCAGCCTCTGGATATAGCTGTTTTCATGCTGTGGCTAGCACAGTCTTCCCTTTCCTTTGGCCCTGAAGTTAAAATTCATAGAGCTCTTTCATGTCCCTTAGGTCAGCTAAGCCCACATCAGTCTCCAAATAGATAACATTCCTGTTTTATAGATGGTCATCCCCATTTTAGAGATTACTCCCTTTTATGTCCCCATTTTACAGGTGAAGAAGTTGAGGCACAGAAGGTAAGGTCACTTCTGCAAGATTAGCAGCTGAACCAAAATTTCAGGGTTTCAGACACCAAATGTGTTCCCCTGTCCTCCCCATCACACTGCTTCCCAGAGGCCAGCAAGTAGCCGCTGGCCCACTGAGCACCCTCCCACCCAGACACCTTGCTCCCTGCCTCCCGATCCCAGGACTGTGGACATGGATGCCTGAGGCAGGATGTGAATCCTGTTGGCTTCTGAAGCCCACACCTGCCCCCAGCCTTGGGTAGTGGCAGTGGTGGCTGCTTCCAGATGAGCACACCCTCGGGGGGCAGTGTGCATGTCACATGCCCAACACTGGGGGCAGTGTCAGTTTCAGTGATGCTGATCATTCAGGGCGCAGGAATGAGGACTGATGCTGAATGCTCGTAAACTTCTGTTTTGTTTCTCTCTTCAGGATCGCTACAGTTCTTAATATTGTGGTCATGATGTGTATTTCCTGGAGAAACTCTTCTTTAAATGAACCAGTGACCACATCACAGGTGGCAATGAAGACCAGATTGTTTTGCTACTTTTTCGTATGGTATATGTTTCTGATTCTTAGTATTCCTTTTGAGAAATTCTGAGTTCTGATGTAGTAGGAGCTTCACTGTGATTTCTGTTTCGCGTTACTTCCCTCCATGCCTCCTTTTGGCATCTCTGGGTATATCCTTGCTTTATTTTCTTGGAACCTTTGGTTTCAACACTGAGGGCCTGGAGACATCGGCTCCTCCTGCTCCGTGAACAAGGAGCCTTCATCCAGGAGAGAAGGAGAGGTGTCCATGCCACACACGGGCTCAGGGCTGCCAGAATCAGCGGATGCGGATGGGCCTGCAGACACAGCATTCACACACGCATGCTTCCTCCAGAAGGGAGCGACGGGCCAGAACAAAAAGCCAAACGTGACTGGTGTCTTATTGACAGATTGCTTCTTTTCTATTTCTACATGTTAAGATGACTTCCAAATAATATTTAAAGCCATCTCTTTGTAAATTGTTTATTTTATATGATCTATAAATTTAAAGATATTTTTCAGTGAGTGCTTTTAACAAACGTAAGCTTCCACATTGCCAAGAGAATTGATGTTACCTTGTGACAAGGTGTTGCTGTTTGAATTGATGAGAAATGTAAGATGAGGACTCCCTAAGGGGATTTATAAATCGACATGGTATACGGAATTAAAATGGAATGAGGTAAGAAGATAGAGCTACAGAAAACAGTGCAGCGTATGGCAGGATGCTCGTCGTAATTGGGCACTTTTGTGAATAGTTTTAAACCTTGCTTTTCAGAAATTACAGAATATGTATAAATGAATAAAGAAAAATAATTTAGCTGTGTTTTAGACAGCATTAGAATATATTGTTCCGCACAGTAAAATATATTTGAAATTTGATAAGCCGAAAATGTGGTTTTGATGAATATTTTGTGAATCTTTCTTAAAAGCTCAAATCTGTAGACTTCTAAGGATAATAAACACTTGCAGCAGTTGGTGTTGCCTACACTTTTTTCTGAAAGCTTTTGTAGCACATCATTGTGAATCAGGGTTTGTGGTGTCACATTGATGGACATTTGAATTGCGAGCAGCTGTGTATGGGTGTGTATTTAATGCATGTTTGGGGCTGATGTGCAGTTGTCATGAATTGGGATGTTGTTTGCAGCACAGGAGCAAGGTGGGAGGCCCTGGCTGAAAAATGAGGACGTTGGGCCAGGTGCAGCGGCTCACACCTGTAATCCTAGCACGTTGAGAGCCTTGGGCGGAAGGATTGTGACCCCACCTCTATCAAAAAAGAAAAAATTCAACCAGGCTCAGTGGCCTGTGCCTATAATCCCAGCCACTCGGGAAGTGGCAGCAGGAGGATCCCTTCAGCCCAGGAGGTTAAGGCTGCAGTGAGCTGTGATTTCGACACTGCACTCCAGTCTGGGTGATAGAGCAAGACCCTGTCTCAAAAAAAAAAAAAAAAAAAATGGGTGGGGGAGGGAGGCGGGCAGATCATGAGGTCAGGAGTTTGAGACCAGCCTGGCCAACAGAGTGAAACCCTGTTTCTACTAGAAATAGAAAAATCAGCTGGATGTGGTGGTGGGCACCTGTAATCCCAGCTACTGGGGAGACTGAGGCAGGAGAATCATTTGAACCTGGCAGGTGGAGGTTGCAGTGACCTGATATCACACCACTGCACTCCAGCCTAGGCAACAAGATGTGGTAGGCAGGGGCCTGGGGGCCTGTCCCGCCAGGCAGTGCTCTGCATCCACCGTGGTGCCGCTTGCCTGTGAACACCATCCCTGGCCCCTGCTGAGACCCCTTGCATCCGCCATGTGCCCTGTCCGGCCACCTGGGCTGTGGGGAGCTGGTCTCAGGGTGGGAAAGGCCCGCCTCCAGCTCCACCCTTGGTCTTGGGTTACTGGGAGGTAGACAGCCTTCCTGGAGCCCTTATTGCCTGGTGGGAGGGAGCCTGGGGCATTCTAGGGTCCAGCCCCTGACTCCAAAGCCTCAGGGATCAGGAAGCCACTGATGATCTGTGGCCACAGCCATGGCCTTGAGCTGGGCAGGGCCAAAGAGGACTGGCTGGGGTCTCTGCCACTCTGACATCGGGCAGTGGACAGATTACCCAGCCTTGCCCCAGCATTCCCTGGCAGCCCACCTCCCAGCCTGAGCCCCCTCCCCTGGCTTCCCTGCAGTGCTCAGTGACACACAGGAAGGGCACTCAGCACCAAAGTGTCCTCTGCACCAATGACACCAGTGTCCCTGTGACGAGGCCCAGCAGCCAACCAGAGCAGTCACCTGCTGTCTGCCACCATGTCAGCAGCCCCTGGACATACTGGGCCCTGAAGGCTGAGGCAGGGGCTCCTCCAGCCATGAGCTCTTCGGCCAGGCTGACTTCATCCCACACCGCCTGGCCCCACGCCTTTTACCCACCTCATCACCCGTGCCAGCCGGCATGGCAGTGCCATTGAGGAGGAGGCTCCAGAGCTGGGCCTGCCGGGACACATGTGTAGACGACTTCTACTATGACTACAGTTTCATTTACCTCCACGAGGATCTGTGCTCTTGGCCCTTTGAGGAGCCCGATCTAGACTTGGCAGGGATGGGATCAGATGCCCCCACCTCACAGCCCTGTGCCTGTCATTGGACCTCCTGCAGCCGGAAGAATCGCTTGAGCCCAGGGGGTGGAGGCTGCAGTGAGTCAAGATCTCGGCCACTGCATTCCAGCCTGAGCAGCAGAGCAAGACTCTGTCTCAAAAATAAAAAAATAAAGGCTGGGTGTGGTGGCTCACGCCTGTAATTACAGAACTTTGGGAAGGGAAGACGGGTGGATCATGAGGTGATCCTGGCCAACATGGTGAAACCCTGTCTCTACTAAAAAGTACAGAAATAAACTGGGTGTGGTGGCACATGCCTGTAATCCTAGCTACTCAGGAGGCTGAGGCAGGAGAATCGTTTGAACCCGGGAGGCGCAGGTTGCAGTGAGCCGAGATTGTGCCATTGTACTTCAGCCTGGGCAAGAGAGGGCGACTCTGTCTCAAAATAAATAATAAAACAAAACAAAATAAAATATACCTACTGAGCATCTTCCTGTGCCAGGCACTATTCTAGGCACGGGATACAGTGGAAAATGAGCTAGACAAACTGGAAAAAAAAAAAAAAGGATCATTCATTCTTCAATCCCTAATATTACAGAACTAGTTCAGGCCTATTAATGAAGTAACTTAGGGCTACGAATATGTAGTGTGCGTAGGCTAACACAGGCACACGACGGGCATTTATTGAAACGTTCCCTTTGGTGTTCCACCACCAGGCTTTGCCGGTCACACTTGGCAATGAACATGGCTGCTGCACAGGCTCAAAAGAGGTGGGAGAGCCAGTGCTGGATTAGGGCACGTTCAGTGAGCCTTTGTCGCAACAGCTGGAGAGATACTACCTCTGAGCAGCTTTCCGGAGAAACTTCAACCTGCTTCCTGAAAGGGCAAGCCAAGCTGAACAGCTTCAGGAGAGTCATTTGTGGGATAATCCATTACCATCTATTTGTGCTGTAGCAAAAGCAGTCTCTTGAGAGAGCAGAACCTGGCCCAGGGAAATTTTGCTAGGGACAGGGACTTCAAATTCTGGGGTCTTCCCAGTCCCAGATGACTTGCAGCTGTGGGTGAATCCTGATGGCCCCTGGTGTTTACTGCAGGTGCACTAAGCCTCCTGGCCACTGTGCTGCATAGATTAGCTCTAGAACTGCCGAAACCTACCATGTAGGTACTTTTTCTCCCTTCTATTTTTATAGATGGAGAACAGACACAGTGAAGTCATAGAGCCAACAAGCAGGGGAGCTGGGAATCTTTTTACTTTATTTTACTTTTGAGACAGTCTCGCTCTTGTTGTCCAGGATGGAGCGCAATGGCGTGATCTCAGTTCACTGCAACCTCCACCTCCCGGGTTCAAGCAATTCTCTTGCCTCGACCTCCTGAGTAGCTGGGACTACAGGCACACACCACCATGCCTGGCTAATTTTTGTATTTTTAGTAGAGAGAGG